ATATAAATGTATACATACATTTTACACAAATATTAGAAAAACAAATTTGCCACCTTAAGACATCATACATTTGTAAAGATAATTTCCACACTTATCCTTATTGTGTTGCTGAAACACCAGGGGTTCGATCTAGGTCCTGAGAATAAGTAGTCAGGGAGTGCTTCTGACAGTATTTCACTCTGACATGACTGAGTTTTGGAGGAGAGAAGTAGGATGAGGAGTGAATTTAGTGAGTGAAGACACTATTGCCAGCAACAATGGCATATACAGTGACTCAGAGACAGACAAAGAGAGTTTCGTCAAGGAACTTCAGATAATTCAGTATGGGTAGAATAAGAGGGGTTGGAGAAGAAAATGGAGGAGTAGTAAAAGTTAAGCACTTAATTTGCTCTTTCATGGAGTTTGGAATTAATCTTTAAGGCAACAAGAAATCACTGAAGGCTTGTAAGTGAAGGAGTGACAAAATCTGAGTTACATAGCCTGAGGCGCACCCTTGATCCTTGCTAGTGTGGACTAGAAGAACAAGAGAGAAATTAGAGCCACTGGGCTATTAGGAAAGTGGAACAGTTTAGATTTTTACTATGAAGTTTTAATAGTCAGCTTTATGTATAGTTAACTTCCTTTATGCTAAAATCTCTAGCTAAACGTAAATACCATAACTTTTTCCCAACACTAATGTATTTAGCTGCCATTCATAGCCTAAACCACTGTTATCTGTGCTTCTTTCTATCACGTTGGTCACTAATACTGGACAAGATATACCCACTGCTCTCACCAAAGCTACTAATGAAGACTGTGGGAAGTGTCTTCTGGGAAGACAAGCTCAAATCATGTCATCAGGCAGACTGGAATCAAATCTTGGCTTTAGCTGCTTTAGCTGTGTAGCCTTGGGAAATTCCCTAAACTCTCTGAACTTTGGTTTTCTCACCTTCAAAATGGAAACCAAAATATCTAGCAGGGTTGTAAGAACTGAAGAGCATGCACACAGGGTTTCTAGCACAGAGTAAGCCCTGTAGCACTATACACATTTTATTATTAAAGACAAAATGTATAGAAAAGACAAAATTAAGACAAATTTCTTATTTTCTAGTTGCTCTTTTGAAGAAAAACAGACATTGGCAGGAGCTCACAGGAGAGGACTAGGACCTGAGACTCTCCTGTCACTATGATTCCAGGTCATTAGTGCTTGCTAGTAGCTAAGCAGCTGAACTGCTCCAGAAAACCTATGCAAAACAGTTTTGGTTTTAACTATGTAATCAACCTGACAGGGCCACGGCTGAAATAAATGTGAATGCCATGGCCAGGTGGCCTAGGTGGCCTTGGGAATTGTGGAGTGCAATTAACCTGCCCACTCCCATTCCCAGAACTCTTCTTAGAGAGGTAGTTTCCTTGTCACTGGTTGAGTCTGGTTTTGGCTATTATTTCCAAACCACATTTGTGCCTCCTCAGTGTGGTCCTGATCAGTGCCACTTCCAGAGATCAGAGGAAACTAAATGACGATTATCTGAAGCACCAATTCCCCTTGCAAACCTTTCAAAAATTTCAAAAGATGTTAGCGAGCTGAGTAGTGTAGAAGGAGAATTGGCACTTTTCTCCTATTTTCATATGAATATAATGATCAGATCCACCCATTTCTGATTGTAATGAGGATGTAATCCTCAGTCTAAGCAGAAAAACCTGGGTAGAGGGCAAATGGGGAATTTTATCCCTAGCAATGCAGTGTGACAGCTCTGGGCAGAAGATGTGGAACCAGAGAAGGAAGGACTTCTACCTAACTGGCTTCCAATTCACATTCATTTAGTACTGTTTCTTTTCTCTGTTCCTAAAGTCACGAAAATCAGAAAAATACTTCCCTCCATAGCTGCAGCTGGCATTTTTGCAGTGATCATTAGTAAAACATGTTGGCAGTGGAAAACAGCTTTAGCATTTGCAGAACTGGCTGTCATTGGTGCCAAAAGCAAGTAGGAATAGAAATAGTAACACCAATATTGTTATTACCATACCAGAAGTCAGCTAGCTATCCTGTGCCCATAGCTTTCATAAGTCATGCCTAATACTCGTGTTTTGCCTGACCTTTTGTTAAGCTGTGCCTAAACCCTTATCTTGCCTGACCTTCATCTCACACTGTGTTTGTGAGATGGAAAAGAAGCAGAAGGTGGGTTGAGAGGTTAAAAAAAAAGGTCACTGAGTTTGACTAGCCAGCTTGACTTTGCAGCCCATAACTATCTATATTCCCAAAGGGGTTATGTCTTTTAAGTGCAGAAAAAAACTTAAAAAGTAAACCCATTTTACTGGAAGATTAATTAGGAGAAAATTTCCAGAAAGGAATTTACAGAATTTGACCATATTTACCAATAGCCTTTTCAAAAATGTCATATTTCATCTAGAACACCATTTTAAGACTATACACTAAAGAAATAGTTTTAAATGTGCATAAGGACTTTTAAGTACAAAAATGTATATGATATATTTATAATAAAGAAAAAATTTGAATACATAGCAATAAAGTGTTAGTCATTAATTCATATTGAATAATTCAGCTATTAAAGGGGTTTTATAGAACTTTAAATGGCATGAGAAAAACACTTATTGTTTGAACTTCTCTTTTTTTAATTAGTTCCACTCAAGTTATCTCAAGTAAGCAGGAATTTTTCCATAAGGATACACATGAAGTAAAACTAGGAATAAAAAAGCCACCAAGAATTGGGAGACTTTTGGAAACTGCTAATCTGTCCACTCTACATCTCTTTCTCTCCAAAAGCCATCCCATTAATCCTCTTTCTGCCAATAGGAAGGCTAACACACATGCCCACAGGTTTCCAGAGATGGCTGTTTACCATTGCCTTTCAGCTTGGGTTAAGTAAAGAGTAGTTTCTCTCTGAAAGGCCTGTGGGGAGCTAGGCACATTGATGGTGATGTTAAATAAAGCAGGAATCAAAACAACAATTTATGGTATCACCATTCACTGACTCACTCAACACATACACATTGAACACTCAACATAAGGTGGCAACAGTGGCATGCATGGTTCTTGCTCACACAGCTCTTATAGCTTAGAGAATAAAGGCAACTCAAATCCATTTTCGTGGTGCATATGTGTGCATGATAGGAGAGCACCCTGGAAGAGATCCCAACTCAAACCTGGAGAAACATTAGAAAAGCACGTCCAGGTAATTTTTCTCCAGAAAATAGTTTAGTGTGGCTATTTGAAGTTGTGTGTTTTTAAGGGGTTTTAATTTAATATGGTAGGGGATATGAAGAATTCGGCAAGCCAGAGTAAAAACTGTTAGTCTTCTGAGTGGCAAAGGAGAACTATGAAAAGTTTGGGCAGGAGAAGGAGGTAATCAAATCTGCAAGTTATAAAAATCCATAAATGCAATGTAGATAATGTACTGGATGATGGGCAGCCTGGAGTCGGAGCCCAGTGGGAGACTTTGTTAATAATAGCAGTGAAGTTGAATGAGCCCATACTAGGGCTAGTACAAGTGGAGGGGGAGCAAACTCCAAGAACTTGAAAGATGTTCAGAATCAACTAAACTTGGTGAATGATAATTTGTGTGGGATGAGTGAGGGAAAGGAGTCAAGGATAAAGCCCAATTTTATAGCTTATTGTAATTAACTGAGATTGAAAACAAAGAAGTAAGTGAGGGAAAGATAATGAGTTCAATTTTAAATACATTGAGTTTGTAGTGTGAATGACACATCTAGGGGTGATGCCCAGGAGGAAATTCAATCTAGGCATCTGAAATGCAGCAAGGGATCAGGGCTGCTGGAGACAGAGTTTGATATGTCATATGCATACGGGCCATACTTCAAATAATAAATATGCATAAGAGCATCTGAGAATTAAATTATAATTTTTAATTATAATCTTTATAATTAAAAAATGAGAAAAAAAGAGCTGAGGGCAAGGCACAAACATAACTAAAGGACAGAAAAAGAAAAAAAGAGAAACTCATGCAGGAAGGAGATGGAAATAGCCTTCAAAGAGGGAGGGATATAATCTAGTACACAGCAGTGTCACAGAAGTCAAGAAAAGAGAGCATCAGGAAACAAGAATAACTTGATGATATCAATTTATAAAATATATATTAATAAGTTAAAGGAGAAAAATGACACAATCATATCAACAGATGAGAAAAAAATCACTGATAGAATCTAATGAATATTTTAATGGCAAGTACTCCTTTAACATAATAATACATCTGTACATATGCATGTGAATGTATATATGTGTATATATGCAAGTATTGTGTGTGTTTGGAGTCTCCAAGACCACTCTAGTTTTGAGTGTTTACTAGGAGAACTCACAGGACTCAGCATATAGTTGTATATGCTCACAGCTATGATTTATTATGGTGAAGGATATAAAATGAGACTAGCAAAGGAAAAAAGTGCACGAGATGAAATCCAGGTTACTATCCCAGTGGAGTCACAAAAGATGAGCTTAATTCCGCCAGCAATGAGTTATAACAACACAAGTGAAATGTTTACCAGGGATGTTTACTAAAAGCTCAGTGCACCAGCTTTTTACTGGGAGCTGGTCACACAAACCCTGTCTGCCGAGCACTTTCTAAAACCTCAAATGGAAAGACATTCAGCATAAACCATATTGTTTGCACAGTGTAGACATAGTAAGCTATTCTTAACAGGGAATCCTAACATGATCCAGATGCCACCCAAGGACCAACCTTGCAAAAGCAGGTCTTTCTAAAGATGGCAGTCTCAAGTTTGCCATGTTAACTCTTCTCTGTGTTTGTGTGTGTGTGTCTGTGTGTGTGTGTGTGTTTGTGTGTGTGTGTATGCATGTGTATGTTTAGATACACATCAGTAAATCAGGAGAGATGCCTGCTCCTTCCATTACACTGAATATTGTTCTGCAAATATTAAGCAATATAATTAAAAAAGGAAGAAATCAGACAGAATATATATTGTGAAGTAGGTAATGTTACTTAAGAATTTCACAATTTTATATTTGAAAATTATAGAAAGTCAGCTGTAGCTCTGCACAGTAGTAGTATCATAGCCACTAAGGTCTATCTGAAGCGCAATTATTGCTCATTAAAAACCTTTCCCAAAACCCTATAATGACGACTTGCAATATAATTGGCACTGGTAATTTCTGACAGTCTCTAAGGAGACTCAGTTTTTTTAAAAGAAGAAAATCAGTCCTAGAAAGTATCAAAATAATAAAACAATTTGGGAAGTTTAAAAACATACCAGAAAAATCAGAATACGTAATAAAAATCAGAAAAGATAAATGATTTAAGAATGCACTTTGAGGAAAGTGAAGGAAGTATACTCAGTGTGTGTTAATAGGTTTAGACCATATCAGGAAGAAGTGAGAAACCAGTATTACTATAGCTGAGGTAAGGGAATAGAGAATAAAAAATGAGGTTGGGGAGTTAAATTCAGGGCATAACATGCAGGGCTTTGTAAGTCATGATTGGGATTTTTATAATTCCACTCTTAAATCAATAAACAATTTCTGAAGAGTTTAAAAAGTTTTAAAATACAATAACATTTGCATTCTGAAAGCATCATTCTAGCTGCAAATATGGAAATAGTTTTGAGGTGAGCCAGATACTTAAGTTTTAGGTAGAGATTTATAAGAACAATGTCTATAATAAAGTGAAATCCAGAGAGTAGATTTGAATAGTTTAGGGTGATGGCAGCAAAGATGAAAGGAAACTAGAATAATCTAGTAATATTTAGGAAATACAACTGGTAGCACTCTCTAATTAACAGTATGAGAGGATGAGAATGAGTGAGGAGCTTCAGTGACTTCCAGGTTTCTGGATTGCACAACTGTACAGATGAAAGCATCATTTTTGTGAGGCAAAAAAAAAATGAGGACATAACTCAAATAGCCTAAATTAATAACTTGAAACCTTTTTTTCTCAAAACTATTATTTTAACATGAGCTTCAATAGCTATTTTAAGAAACTATCATTAGAGTGAACCAGCCACCAACAGAAAGGGAAAAAATTTTTGCAATCTACCCATCTGACAAAGGGCTAATATCCAGAATCTACAAAGAACTAAAACAGATTTACAAGAAAAAAAAACAAGCCCATTCAAAAGTGGGCAAAGGATATAAAAAGACACTTCAAAAGAAGACGTACATGAGGCCAAAAAACATATGAAAAAATACTCATCATCACTAGTCATTAGAGAAATGCAAATCAAAACTACATTCAGATACCATCTCACACCAGTTAGAATGGCAATCATTAAAAAACCTGGAGACAACACATGCTGGAGAGGATGTGGAGAAAAAGGAACACTTTTACACTGTTGGTGAGAGTGTAAATTAGTGCAACCGTTGTGGAAGATAGTGTGGCAATTTCTCAAGGATCTAGATATAGAAATTCCATTTGACCAAGCAATCCCATTACTGGGTATATACCCGAAGAACTGTACATCATTCTACTATAAAGACACATGCACACATATGCTCACTGAAGCCCTGTTTACAATAGCAAAGACCTGGAACCAACCCAAATGCTCATCAATGATAGAGTGGACAAAGAAAATGTGGCACATATATACCATGGAATACTATGTAGCCATAAAAAATGATGAGTTTGTGTCCTTTGTAGGGACTTGGATGAATCTGGAAAACATCATTCTCAGCAAACTGATACGAGAACAGAAAGCCAAACACCATGTGTTCTCACTCATAGGTGGGTGTTGAACAATGAGAACAGGTGGACTTAGGGAGAGGAGCATCACACACTGGGGCCAGTTGGGGGAGGTAGGGGAGAGACAGCAGGGGGTAGGGAGGGAGGGGAGGGATAACATGGGGAAAAATGCCAGATATAGTATGCACCTAAAGTAAAAAAAAAATAAAATTGTTTTAAAAAATAACTATTTTGAAACTCAGAAAACTGAGGAATGATTTTTTAAATTCTTTTATTCTCTGAAGACATGGGTTCATATCATCTGAAGAGAAGCCAAAGGGCAATAAAAAATTACCATGAGATAGAAGAACATTTTTAAGTGTACCAAAATGGTATCATGTCAAATATAAAGTTTTTATTTAATGAAATTATAAGCAGAAACCTAACTGTGCCATCCTCTGGAGAAGTACACTGGGAGTTGTTAAGGAAAGCTGATTTAAGTATCATGTGAATGTTTTACATGAATTTGTATTTCTGATTTTAAAAAATTAAAACTCATCTTGGAAAAAATAAAGTTTGTGTTTTGTTTTGTATTGTTTTTACTTGAAGTAGAAAATTGAAAGAAGTAGGAAATGTCCAACAGTAATCAAATGCAGAGGTCAAGCCAGGTACAGGCTAGAAAGTTACAAAGTATCTACCACATTTAGGAGAAGGAACGTAATCAGTGACCCCGTGGAGGTAGGATTCAGGGCTCTGAACAGCACCTAGACAGCAAGAGCTTGTGAAGTGTCACAAGATGAAGTGGAGACTCAAATATTTTGACAAATTGGCTAGCAAGTGAAATAGGAGCTAGGTGGTAGCCAAAAAAGAAAACAAAATCTAGAAATATGCTGTTACTGTTTAATTTTAACAAAAGACATATGCATGTTTAATTGCTAATGAAGTTTTGAGAGATTAAAAAATTAAAATTTTTAAAATATTAATTTAAAAATAATGTTATGAAATGTATCAAGATAAAATGTATTTTTTATGCTTGGATTTGAGATTCTAGAACAGTTTTAAAACTTTTATTAGTACTATAGGAATTTTTAAAATTTACTCTAGTAAAAAATATTTGATAGTGAGAAAAATAAGGATAGTCAGCTTCATTTTACAAAAGAAAAAAAAAAAAGAAGGCCGGGTGCGGTGGCTCAAGCCTGTAATCCCAGCACTTTGGGAGGCCGAGGCGGGTGGATCACGAGGTCAAAAGATCGAGACCATCCTGGTCAACATGGTGAAACCCCATCTCTACAAAAAAAAATAACAAAAAATTAGCTGGACATGGTGGCGTGTGCCTGTAATCCCAGCTACTCAGGAGGCTGAGGCAGGAGAATTGCCTGAACCCAGGAGGCGGAGGTTGCAGTGAGCCGAGATCGCGCCATTGCACTCCAGCCTGGGTAACAAGAGTGAAACTCCGTCTCAAAATATAAGAATGCTGGTCTCCAGGATTCTATCCCCTGCATATGAGTGGAGTGGCCAGAATCTAAGTAATTTGTACAACTCTCTGTCCTGACTGCTCTTTTCCACCCAGAAGCAAGATAGCTGTAAGAATGTCATTCTACTTTGGGCAGTATGGCCATTTTCATGACATTGATTCCTCTTAACCATGAGCACGGAATGTTTTCCATCTGTTTGTGTCCTCCTTGAGCAGTGGTTTGTAGTTCTCATTGAAGAGGTCTTTTGCATCCTTTGTTAGTTGTATTCCTAGGTATTTTATTCTCTTTGTAGCAATTGTGAATGAGAGTTCACTATTGATTTGACTGTCTGTTAGTCTGTTATTGGTGTATAGGAATGCTTGTGATTTCTGCACATTGATTTTGTATCCTGAATCTTTGCTGAGGTTGCTTATCAGTTTAAGATATTCCGCTGAGATGATGGGGTCTTCTAAATAAACAATCATGTCATCTGCAAATAGATAATTTGACTTCCTCTTTTCCTAATTGAATATTCTTTATTTCTTTTTCTTGCCTGATTGCTCTGGCTAGAACTTCCAATATTATATTGAATAGGAGTGGTGAGAGAGGGCATCCTTGCCTAGTGTCAGATTTCAAAGGGAATACTCACAGTTTTTGCTCATTCAGTATATTGGCTGTGGGTTTGTCATAAATAGTTTTTATTACATTGAGATATGTTCCATTGATACTTAGTTTATTGAGAGTTTTTAGCATAAAGGGCTGTAGAATTTTGTCAAAGGCCTTCTCCAGATCTATTAAGACAATCACATGGTTTTTTTCTTTGGTTCTGTTTATGTGGTGTATTATGTTTACAGACTTGCGTATGTTGAACCAGCCTTGTATCCCAGGATGAACAGTAACTTATAGATTCAATGCTATTTCCATCAAGCTATCATTGACATTCTTCACAAAACTGGAAAAAAAGACGTTAAACTTCATATAAAACCAAGAGAGCCCACATAGCAAAGGCAATCCTAAGCACAAAGAACAAAGCTGGAGGTATCACGTTACCTGACTTCAAACTATACTACAAGGCTATGGTAATCAAAACAGCATGGTACTGGTATCAAAACAGAGATATAAACCAATGAAACAGAACAGAGACCTCAGAGACAATGTCACACATCTGTAACCATGTGATCTTTGACAAACCTGACAAAAACAAGCAATGGGGAAAGGATTCCTGTTTAATAAATGGTGTTGGGATAAGTGGCTAGCCATGTGCAGAAAGCAGAAACTAGACCCCTTCCTGACATCTTTCACTAAAATTAACTCCAGTTGTATTAAAGATTTAAACATAAGACCTAACACCATAAAAACCCTAGAAGAAAACCTAGGCAAACCATTCAGGACATAGGCATAGGCAAGGACTTCATGACTAAAATACCAAAACCATTGGCAACAAAAGCCAAAATAGACAAATGGGATCTAATTAAATTCCAGAGCTTATGTACAGCAAAAGAAACAATCATTAGAGTAAACCAACAACCAAAAGAATGGGAAAAATTTTTTGCAATCTACCCATCTGACAAAGGGTTAATATCCAGAACCTACAAAGAACTAAAACAAATTTACAAGAAAAAAACAAACAAACCTATTCAAAAGTGGACAAAGGATACAAACAGACACTTTTCAAAAGAAGACATATATGAGGTCAATAAACATATAAAAAAATGCTCATCATGACTGATCATTAGATTAATGCAAATCAAAACCACATTGAGATAGCATCTCATGCCAGTTAGAATGGCGATCATTAATAAATCATACAGAGACAACGGATGCTAGAGAGGATGTGGAGAAATAGGAAGACTTTTACACTGTTGGTGGGAATATAAATTAGTTCAACCATTGTGGAAGAAAGTGTGGCGATTCCTCAAGGATCTAGAAATAGAAATACCAATTGACAGAGCAATCTCTTTACTGGGTATATACCCAAAAGATTATACATCATTCTATTATAAAGATACATGGACATGTATGTTCATTGTGGCACTGTTTACAACAGCAATGACCTGAAACCAA